ATAACCAGGAAAGAGGTTCATTTGCTTGAGTGGCTCCGCCCACAGTCACCGTGGAATATGTCTTTAAGTTACTTGAGTGCTAATGATGTGAGATTGATCGCTGAGTTAAATTTTGCAGATGTCACTAACAGTGTCAGAGTTGTCTTTTCTTCGATTGTTAGAACGAACGAAAAAGCTAGCCAGGGAAGACCTGGCTGCGAATGTGTGGAAAGTGAATGCAGCCGTGCTGTATCTCGAAAATCTCTTCAGCAGGCTCCAGGACGAGAAAACGTAATCTGATCAGCTGTTTGATAAATTTGTTCTGGCTTTTACTGGTAACTCTTCCTTTCAAGGCTTCACAACAGCGATACACTGATGCAGTATGGACGCGAGTTGAATCAAATGAAACTCCTTTAGTTCAGAGTGCTATTAGAGGGGCGGTGGGGGGCTCCTGAATCTGCTTGTCTGCTTCCTTTCATCCAGATAATGATTTCGTTTCTTCTAGGGCTAGAGGTGTACTCCCTTGGGGGCGTTACTTCCCAATCGCGGAGCAAAATAGATATTGCATGCTCAGAGTGCTATCAGAGGGGCGGTGGGGAGGGGGCTCCTAAATCTGCTTGTCTGCTTCCTTTCATCCAGATAATGATTTCGTTTCTTCTAGGGCTGGAGGTGTACTCCCTTGGGGGCGTTACTTCCCAATCGCGGAGCAAAATAGATATTGCATGCATACCCAGCACCTGCATCGGATCCATCCCACTCAAGATGGCGGCGGCACTGCTCGTAGACTGTATCACCCACGTCAGCTCCTACTGCAATGTCACGACTGAGAAGTAACTCCCATGCATGTTTCCGTAGTTCCACGTAAAAAGGCATTGAGGTCCCTGCGCAGCACTCACTCACAACAAAAGGACCTAATTGTCTTAACTCGGCAGTGCTACAGGGTGTCAAGTCAAATAGCTGAGAAATATAGCTAGTTTGTGCGCGTTTTTCCTATCTTAGAACCGACACCACAGATTCAGTTTTACCGTTGGACCACCAGGGTGAGAGCAGCCTAATCTCTTCTTCTCCCCTTCCCCAACCACAATACATACCACGGTTTTCGAGGGAAACTGGGTGGAAAGGGTGGAAATCCGCCTTCATTTCCCCTCCCCTAGCCGGCGGCGTTCACAATTTTACCTTTACTGGTGAGTGATCAGAGGTCCCTTCACCCCTACATGCTGAGCCGATTATTGGAAGGTTTCACATTATGATGATTACCCCCCCCCCCGCTCCAGTAGCACCCTACTTTGAACGTGGTGAGTGAGAATAATGAAGAGCATTTAAGAAATCCGCTGAAGAGAAACTTTCCCAACTGGACCTCATTCCACGGCGCTTCCCGGATACTGGTATTGAGATGCGAACTGGTCAATCTATGAGTAAGCTTCTGATCTATTATTGCGGTTTTTGTACGAACGGATACCAGAAGGATGATGTTTAGAATCATCTCCATATCGTCCCATAGAAACTGCCTCCGAAGTACGTGTT